CACCCCCCACCGCCGCCGGCTGCACCGAGCGCGTGCCATCCCGGCGCGAGGGGCAGCAGCTTTGGCGGCTGCTGAAGCGCGTGATGCCGCAGCTGGTGGCCAATGTGTTTTGGCACCCTTAGGTACCGTTTAGGCTGTCACCTCCCAAGGGTCAGGCAATGGGGGGCTCTCTGCCTCTCTGCCTCTCTGCCTCCCCTCCCGTCTGCCTCTGCCGTGGCCTCGCTGAGCTCCAGCCGGCTGCTCTCCCTGCGAGGCGCCCGGCATCCTTGTGACCATCTTGGCCGTGCAAGCGGAAAATGAGTTATCCAGCTGGGTACCCCGGCACGCTGCCGGCGCTGGGGCTCTCTGGGGAGGGGGTAAAGCTTTCTGGGGCTCTGCACAAAGGACTGGTGCTTTAAGGAGCTCCTGGACCTTCCTTCCCTGCCAGGACCTGGGCTGTAATGGAGGGAAAGCTGAGGATGACCTTCCTCTTCACCTTCCTCCTCTACTTTCCTCACCCGTCTGATGAGAGCTTTTCCCGGAGGGTAAGAGATACTCTCCCTCTCGCTGTGAATATTTGGACAATGCCCCATAACTGTGCAAATATATTTTTCAAACTGGTTCTGCTGCCATCTGAGGAGGGGCAAGGTGGGAAAACCAGGAACTTTTTTTTGGAGGTTAATGACTCGGAAGTTGGAGCCGGCGGCGGAAAGTCAACACAAACGCCCTAATTGGGGATTAGCTTTTCCCCAGCACAGTTCACCTCGACGTGGGGCAGCAAAGCCCTGGAGAGCGGTGGTGTGCGCAGCCCTCGCCCTGGGAAGGAGCCGTTCCCCTGGGATGATGGGGAGCTGCGGCGGGGGGTGCCAGGAAATCGCTGCCTGACTGTTTCAGCTCTCATTTAGGTCTCGAGTCCGGGTTCAGGGGGATGAAGGTGGGAAATGAGAAGCAGAGACACAAAAGCACAGCGAACCCCAAGCCCTTCTGCGGGCATCGCCCTGGATTCGGCACCACATCCCCATCCCTCATCGCTGGTACCACTGAACGGCCGCAGGATGCTTGGGTTCGCACAGCCCGTGAGAGACGCAGTGCCGAGCCCCGAATCCCACAGGAGACGGCAACGCGCCGGGAAGTCCATGGGATGGACCGGCTTCTTGCTTTATAAGTGCTTCTAGGCATTTCCAGCGGTTGGCAACCTCCCCCGGGCGCATGGCCAGGCCCCCGCCAGCCTCCGGGAAGGATGCGGCTGAAATGCAACGATGCGGCTTTTCACATCAGGAAACTCATCCGCGCAGGGACCCAAACCCGCCTGAGCCGAGAGGGTGGAAATGCAGCAGAAACCACCTGTTTTCTTACCGGGGGCCCACGGCCTCCGGCTTTGCCGCCTGTCCTGCCACCGACCTGCTCACCGCCGGGATGCGTCACCGCTCCGGCCCAGGCTCTCGCGCATCCTGTTGTCCCCTGGCAGCCGGATCCGCACGGTCGTGCTCCTGAGCAATGCAGGCTCGTAGCAAGTGGTGAAATTTTTTCTGAGAGCCGCTGCCATTCCCGGGCAAGCTCCCAGGCGCGCTGCCGGCTGC